TTATATATACTTACATTATGTATGAATAAAATGAAAACCCTTAATCAGGCATAGTGCGATTTATCGACAATCTAGGTAATGGAAGTTTTATAGTGATAGGGATTTGTCTTTTTTTATTCATAAAACTTTTATTTTATTACCAATATTTGTATCTTTAGTATGAAGTTAAATATTTTTTTCGAAACAATTTATTTTAGGAAATCTTCATTCAAAGAAACTGGTCATTATATGCCCTATACGGGTATATATAATACCATGCCCAGACGGGTCTGGCCATGGTATTATGTGGATACTGTTTTCATTATACAAGAGATGATCAAAAATAACATTTTACTTTTTTATATAAAAATAAAATTCTACGTATTTTTTAGCAATAAATAATATGCTTCTTATTGTATTTAAATATTTATCAGTTCAAACTATGCAGTTCCTTATTAAAAATGTGTATAATGAAAGAAATATACAAAACGACACAGATGGTTTAACAGGCATAGAGCACTTTGTTTTGTCTAAACAGCTACTTTCTTTGTCTTAATTTTAATATTTTTTAAGAAACGGATGTTTTGTATACATTGTACAGGCAAAACTGAAGAACACAGCATATTTAACAATATATTTTAATGCCAGTGCACAGGGGGCCTTATTAAAGGTTAAATAAAAGTAAATATTACAATCAAGAGAAACATAATATAAAACTGTATAATTCTTTTTAATATCAAAATAATATTAGTGGCTTGGAAATAATACTTTTATATAAAATAATAGTGGCGAGGGAAAGACCTCTTAAATTGTTTGAATTACCTAAGGACAGAGAGTAAAATTATACGTTGTGAAATTCTTGACAGCACCGAAATTAAATTAAAATAAATAAATTTCCCCAAAATTGAAATAGCTGTGTACTGAATAGGCAGACACTATATCAAATCATATGAGACACAATTTTAATCTTTGAATGTTTTTTGTAAAGATCTTTATAAAGATGAATTCTCTTTTGAAATATGCCATTATGTTCATTGTAACGTATGAAGTCAGGGGCGGGGCGATTTTAAAATATATGACATATTTAGGAAACAATGTATTATAGTAAGTTTTAGTCTTTAAATCGCAGTTAAATTAAAAATAATACATTCTTTTGTAACACTTTCTAAAGTTTTTTTAATATAGTTTTAGTATCTGTGTCATAGAAAGGCGGAAAGAATATTTTTATACATTTATGTTGTTATTATGTATTTATTTTATTAGTAATTTATCCTACTAAGTTGTCTGATAAGAGAAAGTTAGTTTACCGGGTGTCGAATACGATCTACACGACTAGTGTAAGTTTGTAGACATCCGGAGTAATAGTCCAGACTATTCGAGATAATTATGCAATTATTACCCATATTCACAATAAAGATTGTATATAAAGTTATGAAATTATTATTAAATTTTCTATTGGATTTTGAAAACTCGAATTTTATGAACATAATATAATATAAAAGAAAAGAAAATAAAAGAAAAGAAAAGAAAAGAAAGCAGATGTCTTTACATAATTATATTTTTTATAAGGATACTAGTTTTTGCTTGCGACTTCGTCAACGTTAATTTCAGAATTAGTAATATATTTATAGCTGAACGGGCGAACTCTATTCCGCCCCAGAGTTCGTAAATAGCCAGATATTGGAATTTATTAAGTTTGTTTCCATTTTAATAGAACTGAATTAAGTATTCTATGTCCGTTTCCTTTCACCTCACCTCACAAATTATCAACAAATCCCTACAGCCGTTTTTGAGTTATAAATAATGTAACTAGCCCGAAATTCTTTTATATATAAAGGTAGATGTAAAAAATGTTTTTAATCAACTGTTATAAAAATCATTAAGAAATACTCAATTAGGAATCATTAGGAATATACCTACATTTGTAAACTACTGTAAAGGGAGTCCCTTTAATAATTTCTGTACGAACGATACTCATTATCTCGTTAAAATTGAGCTGAAACAACAAATTATTTTCGTTTCTATACCTTTCGAAAACCCATCTCGTATAATAAACGTTCGCGTCATATTTGAAATTTTCTTTCATTCTACATTTTTGTTTATTTTTTTTTATCAAATTTAGTTTTCGCAATTGATAATATTTTCCTAAATTCTCCAAAATATGATGTACTTGAAATTTTAACTTATGGCAATTCATTAGGCGACTCTTAATTATTTTTTATTCAGTTTGCATATGTACTTTTTTAGTATAATTAATTAATAGGTTCTATATGTAAGCCTAGGTATCTGACTCGTTATAATAGCTTAGTATACCATATGTAACTTCTACATAAATTAAATTACCAATCTGCCAGCCTAAGCCCACAATTTACTTAAACTTAAGTAAATTGAATGCTCTAGCTTCCTCTACTTAGTTTGAATCTAAACTGAAGTTAAATGTTTGAACAATCAATCAAACTATTGAAACAAAATTTTGAACTTATGCATCCTATCATATTGCTTTTAGTATCCAAATCTCTATTAGCATTCTGACCCTTACGGTTATTGGTTTAGAAAATTGAGTATTAAGGGCGTTACAGAAATATTATTATTTTATTCACATTTATGAATGAAAAAGTGTCAAAGATAAAGGATGGGTTTAAAACGTTGAAGAAGATCATTGAGAAGTTATCTCATAAAAAGCAGTGTCTTGTGGAGTTTGAAATTTGGAAGAAATATCGAAATTTTGACTATTTATTGGCCTTGATATTTGACATTTGGAAATTTCTAGAATGGAGTGATGTATATATATAATCAAATAATATTAAACAATTTCAACTTACTCTTATATTTTTGTAATTAGAAGATTCGTTTAGTTTTTTTTTATTCTGTGATACACCATAAACAATGAAGGAGTAATTATGCTTAGTGTAATTTTTCACAATCGGCTAACTTTTTTTTAAGTTTAGATAATATAAGAAAACTTTTATAGAGACGAATAAAAAACATTAATCATTTTTGTTTTCTAATAATAATTTCTTGTTTTATTTTTATTTGAAGTACCAATTAAAAGTTTTATCTAAAAATAAATATATTTATGTTCTATTTTTTAAAAGGCATTAAAAAACTTAATAACAATGATGAAGCGTGCCTCCATCAAGTATTATTAACCAGTTCGTATTTTTCCTGCAGTCTTGGTTGGAAATATTTGAAACTGTAGAAGGTGATGACGGCCAGGATCCCGATGAAGTGAACAACTAAAAAAATATTTAATGACATGTTTTCATTTTAGCCATGCTATTTCTTTCACGATCATATCCATCAATCAGAATTTTCTTAACGAATTATCTGTGAGTTTAATGTTAAGAGTTTTATATTATATTAAATCAAAAATTTATTTCTGTAATGACTAATGAATTTTGATTAATCATTATTAAGACTTCTTGTAACAATAAAAACCAGAGGTGTTTTCTCAGAGATCTAAAGAAATGTACATGACATACTTCATTTATTTTGTGAAGATTCTGTTTCAAGTTTCAATGTATGTAAACTTCACCTGAACTAAGCATTGTAATAATTCCCAACATACAAGCGGTGTTAAACATTTCCCTTTTCGTATCTGTATTGTAAGAATCTGAAACAAGACTTTTCTTTATACCAAATCTACGTCATCTGGATATTTTGTTTATTACATTTATATTTTCTTCACTCCTGAGACTTAAGTATTATACATAATTTCATATTACGACTTTACCTCTTCTTAATTTTAGAATTCCATAATGTATCTCAAACGCCGATAAGGCGAATATATAAGTACAAAGTATAGTTGACAATAAAATGTATATCTGAAAATATTATAGATATATTGTAACGTTCGTTTATGCATAATGTGTTAATTATTCTCAATAAAACCAAACTTTAGTAAACGTGAGATAATTTAAATTGGCCTCTTACAAGCATTAGTCTCCGTCGATCCAATATTAATGAAATAAGCAGAATAGATCCGGTCGAAGCAAGTATAAAGAGAATAATAAACGTAGACGAAGTGATGGCTGAAAAAGAAAATATTATTAATACATGAAAAATACATTGGAACATCTGCCCGTGATCACGGTTTCTATAAAGTAACCGAAAAGTCTGGAGTATGTAGTTTTTTTAAAAATAGTTAAATACGCGAAGTAATCCGAAAATATTAGTTTCATTTAAATGAATAAATGGAAGGTTCTTATTATATATCACTTTTTATTCGTCCAAATTTTTGGAAATTGATTATTGTAAATATTATTTTCTAAACAGCCACTTACTATTGAAAGCTTCTATCGGATATTTCAATTTATTGTAAATTATTATTTTTCAAAATGTCTTTTATTAACATAAATCAATAACGATTGAACGTGAGTTGGATGTGAATAGATTTCTTGTTAGAGTAACTTACCCTTACTATTTTATCTTAAATCAAATTGCAGCAATATAAATCTATCATTACATGCATATAAGTCTAATGAATGATGTAAAATATATTTTCTCGCTGCAGAATTTTAATATATCATTATGTTGCAGTAACGAATCCCTAAGCGGGAAATCATATGTACGTAACAGTATTGACGGAAACGTAATAATAATTTCAGAAAAAAATGGGAATAGGAAACATGGTGGCTTATAAAAAATGAGACTGTTTGTTATCACTTTACTTGTATTATATTTACTCAGATATCAATACTAGTGTTTAGTACTTTTTTGTTAACTTCAAGCGTTTCTTTTATACTGCTGTGATAATATGATTATATGTATTATTTAAGCAATGTGTGTTTTTATAAAAAATATTTGTAGGGATTTGTCATTTCACCTATAAGAGCATTTATTTGTCCTTAATATTTCCGAATTGTTATTAGCACTTTATTAATACATTAAGCATTTGTATATATTAAAATTCTAATTATTATCTAACCTAGTGTATTCTTTGATTTGTTTGTTTGAAATTATTTTAATTTGGTTCATCTAGAAAAGTATTATTGTTTATATTTATATTGTTATGATAGTATTCACATACTTTTATGATATTCAGATGAATATATCTTCTCGAATTCCTGGGAGTACAAAACCATAACTATGAGCAGAATGATTCCAACAGCTATTTCCAATGAACCAATCATCACCAGCATTGGCCATAGCTTGTTCACCAAATTGGGCTTATAAAACACACAGGGTTTGTGCCACGCTTTTTCCCAACGATCTTTACCACAGTTATTCAATGAGGTCTTTTTATTAACGGCTAATTTTGCTTCGTTATCCATAATATAATTTAAAGTTTGTTATATTTCATGATTTCTACATATATTGAATTCTATATTTTTCTATATTGAATTCATTTCCTTGTCAGACGTTAAACATGCCAACAGTCATATAAACAAGTAAATCCTTTATATCAACATAATAATAACAAAGGTTTTATATCTGAAACTACTAAAAATAGTTTACACTCGTATTTTTCGAAAAAAGGTCAACATATACCTTTAACTAATTAATTCGATTTATAAAGGTATAATTCGTGTATCTCATTTAAAACTTTCACATAGTAAATATGCTTTTATTTCATAAAAACCCTTCACACTTTTAATTACAAATTCTTTCATGCTAAAATCTAGAGCGAGTCTAAAGGACATTGCGTTGAAATGACTGCTAACTACATTTCAACTCGTAACGGAAAAGTGGCTCTTCTATTACACTTTCTCATTTCAGTTGACTCTAAAATTTGTAATAAAAACAGAAACAGCTTAGCTCGTTATTATGTGTTCATTTTATCAAATTCAAAATTAAATACTAGAAATTGGAAAACGTAATATACAATTTCCTATGAGAAGTGTTTTCATTTACAGATATAGAAATACCTTCACCGGTTATTTCTATTTGAACAACTTGAGTATGAAAATTCTATGTAAACTTGAAGTATTTGATACTTTGCGTCGACTCTTTATACTTTTATTGTTCTGGTTGTTGCTGACTTTCAAATGCAATAAATCGGAAAAACTTTTCAGACTTCAATGTGTACAATGGTCTCGCCGCTTACATAACAAATAAGACTTAAATATCATTCTTTCCTTTAATACTACTTAAATTTTATTTCAAAATATTTGTGGTATTTCTTTTTCATCATTTAGGGTATACAAAAAGAGTTTGATTATTTATTAATACTGAAGCAACGAATCATGTTATTTAATATGCTTACTAATAAATAAATCTCAGTTCCAGTGAATACTAGGGTACAGATTCCATAAACTTAAATAAATGATTTAGAGACTCAGTTAGTATTTAAAATGATATTTCACAAAACTTACGTTAACTTACTTTCTTCTGCTAAACCCTTAGTTATTCAAGAAAGCAGACAAATTTAAAAAAAACCGTTTCTTTGCTAATATATGGAAAAATTATATAGAAACAAACAAAAAAAAATATGTTTCTATATACATAGTTTGGAAGAAAGCAGCCATAATACTTGGTAACGTACAAAGTGAACGGTTACATTTCATTTAGTAGAAGAGAATTCAAATGGAATTTCAAGCATCGTTTGTCGTTTAAACGAATGATCGCATCAGTTGCCACAGTCTAACTAAAACTCTCAATTTTATGATATTGCCATTTAGATTCCCAAATCTAAATTGGAGTCAAGCATACGAGGATTATATTAAGAATGGTTTTAACCTATATAAAAATTACTTATTCAACTTAGTTTGGTGTAGAAATCTTCTCGTTTTTATTTTATTACAGACGGGCTTAGCATACTGTGCTCAATTATATATTTATCTGCTAGAAAGTAATTATGTAATTGCTACTATTGTCTCTTTATCGAATGGAGAGGATAAAAAGTATAATTATGTGTTTAGACTTTCACTGTTCTGTGAATACGGTATATTTTAATCATATATCTAAGACACTTTCTTCTTGTATGTCTGTGATTACAATTTGTAAATTGTGTTTATTCTAATTCATTTCAATAATTTAATTCTTTTAATAGTTTGTAAATTATTATGGTTTGTCGGTCTTGGTTGCGTTTAAAGTCAGTGGTGACCTAGTGGTTAAAAGGCCCGCCTCTCATGCCTGAGGGCGCGGGTTCGACCCTGGCAAGTAGCAATGTGATTTTTCCGATTCAAATGTACTTTCTAAGAGTATTTAGACATCACTGATTAATGCATTCCGAAAAAGGGTTGATTTCAGGCAGGCGGCTGGTCGTAAAAATAATTAGTCAAAACTATTTACAACATATGTATAAGGCAGACAGTGGCTAAAGTTGGGAAATTGCTAGGTAGAAGAAGAAGAAGTTCTTGTTGTTGTTCTATTGAAATAATAGATATATAGGGATACATTTAGTTTAATTTATGATCTGTAGAAGCAAATATTATGTCACGCATAATGACTACTTGTAGTGAACTGGTATGCCAATGTTACACTCTCGTACAGTCGTTGATTGCAGGCTCAAGATGCACCCTCTGTATGTAATAAGTAAAGAAGTTAAATAATGTACTAATTAATTTGTTAATTTTCTGTTAAAGCAGAATGTCCAAGGATATACATTAAAAGATGGCTTCAAAGTTCACTATTTTAGTGATGCATCATATTCATGTATTTGCAGATATGACGATCTTTTTTCACAACCTCTTCATAGTAAAAAAGACTATAATATAATTTTATTCTAATATGGTGAACATATTTTGACGAATTGCTTTAATCGACCAAATAAAAAACATGCATTGGCTAATTTGAAATAGATTTTATATTTTATTTTGTTTTGTAAAAAATATGTATTTCTCTTCTGGAAACCCTAAGATGATTTTTATTGAACCGTAGGTACTTTTGTACGTAGATATTAAACAGAAACGTTCGTCATATTTTTTTGAATTCATAACCTTTTTATTTTTAATTAAATTCCGTTCCATGCAAGCGTATGTCGGTTATATGAGTGGTTGCAACAACTGGCATAACTTATACTACTCAAAGAACCATTTATTTCAAAATTGGTACTGTCTTTTGTTGGATGAAAGATTAAGAAATATAATACTTGTAATTTAATCGCAGTTTAACCTTTAAGTACCGACGTGGGGCCTGAGAGGCCGCGGCGGGTTAACAAGTTGTAAGTTTTACCGCTTCCCCGCACACGTGAGCCCCGTGCTCGTCAGTAGCTGCGAGTTTAGTTGCGCCGACGCCTTTGAATGTGGTAGCAGTGCCGGCGAACACAATTTCGGTAAGTTATGTTGTTTTGAAATTACGACGCGGCCTCTCAGGCCCGACGTCGGTACTAACGTTAGTTTTTTGTTTGGGTCATGAATGAAATTAAATGCTTGTTTTTAGAAATCTATCGGATAATTTGAAGAATGGATGTACCAGGGACATCAGGGGGTAAACGTAGTTCGTCTACGGATGAATTACGTTTTTCCAAAAGACCACGGCGTCCTATAAATCTCTTGGATGAAAATAACGCGGCATTGATTGAGACCTTGCTTGCAGAAGACTCCAGCGGATCGGAGGTAGATGATATCGGAGAAGATTAATAAAATAATAAAATTCTATAATTCCACAAAAGGCGGAGTAGATGAAATCGACAGAAAGTGTTCGGTATACCTGCTTGCAGCCGTTGATCAAGACGTGGGCCTCTGACACCTTTATATAGGATCTTAGATATAAGTTCAGTCAATTTACATATACTGTATGATGTGCATCTAAATAAAGGCACTGATCGCGGTGTGTTTATAAAACAGTTAGCTCGATAACTTGTATTAGACCACATGAAGAGAATGGTGTTACGTTTGCCTCGTGAACTTCGTATGAGTTTAGAGAGAATACTCGGTCCTGATATGCCAAATACAGAACAAGGTCAAGCAAAAGACGAAAAAAACAAGAAAAATATGTGCCTCTTGTCCGCCTAAATTAAATAGAAAATGTACATACCAATGTTACTCATGTAAAAAACATGTTTGTTTACAGTGCGCTAAACAAATCTGCCCTAATTGTGACTAACTTTGTTGTTGGACATTTTTTTTATTTTATGAAAACAATTTAAGTTTAATTTTTTTTTGAATAGATATAACCTTTAAGTTTCAGAAAAACGTCTATTTCATGGTTCCTAGGACGTATTATTTCTTTAATTATTTTTATTTCAGGAAGTGCCATTTTTAAGTTGAGATTCGGAGCTAAAGATTAAAGATCTTATAATTTCAAAGTTTAATAAAGTTGATTATAATAAGTGTCTTTGTTTTCATTTATAGATCCCAAATTAACGATAAAACTTAAAAAATAGATGTCTAATGTACATATTTTTCATACCACTCAGTGTTTAATATGCGGCCTCTCAGGCCCCACGTCGGTACTAGTGATACAAAAAAACCACGTCGGTAGTTAAAGGTTAAGAAAAACATCATATTGTTTTTTGAGCTTAAGCCCTTACAAAAAATAGATAGAATTTCCAGAAACAGACAGGAATAAACAAAAAATGCATGTTTGATGTTTTGTTATATAATGTGTTTAGTAAAAACATGTTAAGTTGTTATTACAGACTCTTCACTTTTATTTATTTATGTGGATAATTATATCTTAATTCATAAAATAAGATCTTATCTTCCCTTCCGCTTCTTAAAATTATAAAAATTTCCTTGACCTTCGTGGCAAAAAAAAAAAATTAAAAAAAAGTTTTATAATTTTTCTATAATTTTTCAGGTGGTAGAGCCTAGTTGTAGTCAGTTACTACAGCTCGAACATGGGCTGGCTCGACCGGGGAAGTACCACCCTCTCACAGAAGATCGGCGTGAAGTAGCCTTTAATGGCTGCGTTTCGTCCGATGAGTGAGAGAGCCGGTTGCCCTTTCCCTATTCCCACCCTTTCCTACCATTTCCTTATTCCCACCCCTCCCTATCCCTACGAAGCAAGGTTGGCAATGCATCCGCAACATCTCGCAACATAGATGTTGCGAATGTCCATGGGCGACGGTAACCACCTTCCATCAAGTGGGCCGTCTGCTCGTTTGCCAGCTTTCACATAAAAAAAAAAAGTATGCTGTGTACATCAAGAAAAATTATTTCACACAATTTTACACAATAGGTTACAAAGAAAATAAGAATATGAACGGATGTGAAAATATAAAAATATTTATTTTACTACGCTCAAACCTAAAATATGTTTAATATACATGGATTTCAATAGCAATTGAAATAAAGTTGCGATGCGACAATATCCTGTGTCCTATGTGTGTTCTTCACAGTTGATTTGTCAGTTTAATTTGTTACTTTGAACCTCCAGACCAATTAAT